AATATATATATTAATGTCAGTCTTGAACATTCAGGGAAAATATTAGATGTGGTAGGAGCAGAATTATTCTACTGCAATTATATTGAGTATTATTCTACAAGAGAACCATCTGACCTAGACAATGAAAACAAGTTCTGGTATCCTTTTTTTTCCCATCTTTTAAATATTTTATATTTACATGAATTTAGGGACACATAATCTAATAAGATGATATAACCTGAGATCCTCTTTTATTTCAGCATGTGGAGCATAATGCTACTACTGTATACATATCAAATGATTTGATTTTTTTCACATATTAAACAATTTGATCATTCAATAATATTAAAAAGAGTTATACAGTCATCACCACAATAAACTTGAGAATTTTTTCTTCTCCTGCTCATTGTTGTTAGCTCTCTGATTCCCCCCTGCCTCCCCAGCCTTGCCCTTAGGTAATTATAAATCAGGTTACTGTATATATGGATTTTTATATCCTGGATTTCATATACAGACAATTATACAAAACACAAGTGGGAAGCAAACAAACAAACAGAAAAGCAACCACAAGAAAACAAAGCAGCAAAAATTCAATTGAAAAGAAGGCAGAAAATATGTGAACTTAGTTGAAGCTTCAGAAGACTGGTTGTTTTAGACAAGACTAAGACCCCAGATGCTATTTTTTCTGATAGCTGGACACATCTAACTTCTTCACTTGGTTATAAGCCGTATTTCCAGTGATACCATCATTAGGGTGATTATTGAGTAGGACCATATTATAACAACTAATTTTCTTAGACTATGAAAAAATTAAATGCAAGGTTAAAGCCCATGCATATATCTCTGGTTCATTTTAGAGACATAATTATAAGTTTCTGACAAAGAACACTGTAAATCATCCCTATGGGACATAAGATAATTCTTCTGATGTTTCAATTAATCTAGAATATAAAACACTGTTGGGAAAATAAAAATATACATGTAAAGACCAGCTTTTCGACTGCAATATATGTAGGTTGACTTGTACAGACTAAATGCTTAAGTGACTGGACAATATTTAAATGATCAATGAGGGTTGGTAAGGAAAATCTTTCAATAACACTCATCCACAAAGGCAGGACCATGTCTATCAGGCTAATACATGCCATCAGAAAACAAGGATAGCATGAAAAGAGTAAATATTGCCCCTTATCAATCCCTACCAGGCCTCTTACACCCTCCTCGCCACTGATTTTTGGGTCCCTTGTTGTTCCCTTGTCCCTGGGTTGGTCAACACCACTTCCTTTCCCCTCCTCCCCCTCTCCCATGTCGCCTCAGGAACCATCGGTCCCATTGTTTTCTTCTCCACATTGTTTATCCAGTCTATCTTATCTAGATAGACCTGCAGAAATAATAATATGCACCAAAAAACAAGATAGAGCAACATAAAGCGACAAAAGAAAACAATGACAACAAAATCAACGGCAAAAAAAAAAGCCTGTAAATAGTTCAAGGTCTGTTTGTTGACCTTTAGGAGTGTTTTCTGGTCGAGTCTGATGGGGTGCTATGTACTGGCCCCAAAGTCTATTTTTGGTATTCCCTCGGGACTTCCTTGCTCTGCTCCCCTTGCTGTTCTGTTGCATACCCTTAGTGTTTTGCCTCGGTTTGGTGGAGTCAGATCGGGCGCAATTCCCACACTGTGTTTCCAGTGTTGTCCCCTGTAGGGCTATGGGTCGGTGAGGGATGTCATGTGTATTTATATATTTATATATATGCAAAAAACCTATGTAGAAGTACATGTATATATGTATATGTGTGTATGTGTGGTTTTGTAAAATCTCCTGCAAAGCTATGAATTCATAGTATAGAACAGGGGTGTCAAACTGGTGTCCTGGGGGCTGCATAGTAACTTTTTGTGGCCCACGATGCTCTGAAATAAAATGAAAATTTAAAAATTGTTATAAAGAAAATAGTGCTTAGGAGAGATCGAGGCAATATTGTATACACAATATTCCCTCATTACATTTTATTTCAGAGCCTCGTGGGCCACAAAAAATTACCTCGGGGGCCTCATACGGCCCATGGACCACCAGTTTGACACCCTGGTATAGAATATGGCAGACCAACGAGTGAGAAAAAGTCATCTTGTTGAAATAAGATTTTTCCAGTAACTATAACATGAATATCCTTGGTGGTTTCATGATGGGCTGCTGCTCTTCTGGAGAAAGATGGGACTTTCTATTCTTGGAGAGTTTCTATCAGAGATGCACAAGGTAGAAATTCTACCTTGTCCTTTAGTACCGCTCTGAGCTGGAATCTACTCTATGACAGTGGATTTGGTTTGGTTTGGGTAGGATGAGGGTACAAACACCTGGTGCCACAGTGGGTTATGTGTATGGCTGTTCTCTGCACAATCAGCAACCCAAACCCACCGGCCTCTCCCTTAGAGAAAGACGAGGCTATCTACTGCTGTCAAGAGTCACAGCCCCAGAGAGCCAGTGTGTCAGTTCTACCCTGTCCTCTGTCCCAGGGTTACCATGGGTCCGAATGGACTCAGTGGTATTAATTTGGGGTTTTCTTTTGGTAGGATAAGGGTACCTGCTCAAATGCTTTTGTCTGGATAAACTTTTAGAGTATATATACTGCCATAAAATCAAACAAAGATATCTTGGAAGAAGTACAACCAGAATGTTCCTTTGACATGAACATAGCAGTATTACTCTCATGTGCTTTGAATATGTTACAGGAATAAATCAGTCTCTGCAAGGGACAAATTGGTTAGTAAAGAGTAGGGTCAGTGAAAATGAGAAAAACACTCAAGGATATGAATTGGCACAACATTTGCCAAACTGTAATAAAAATAATGATTGTGAGGCTAGCACAGGGCTATGCCATGTTTTGTTCTGTTGTACACAGGGTTACTATGAGTTGGAACCAATTTGACTGCACTTAACCATATATATACATACACATGAACATGTGTTTAAGTATGTGTGAGTACATTAATACGTATATGTATGTTTGTGTGTAAAGTGATAGCTTGGTTGTTGAATACCTCCAAGCTAGAACTTTCCACAACTTGAACAGCAAAGTTTGGAAAAAACCTATTTAGTTTTTAAAACTTTGCTTCATAGTTGTATCAAAAACCCAATTAGGAGAAACCTGTATAGTCCAAGAGAGAGTCATACATCACCTCTCATCATGCCCCAGATGCAAACCTGTGGCACAGCTCTTGCTTAGACAACATATGGTGCACATGTGTTGGGGTGTAAAAATGTTTGTCAGTGTGGGGTTTTGGCTTTATGTGTGTAAAGTATCTTAATTGTGTTCACTGTATTGTGTTTTGATTTGTAATGTACTGTATTTATTGTGTTTATATGTTTCAGGGAGTATTTCCACAACCTAAGGCTGTTACTTTTTTTTCAAAGTACTGAAAAAGGAATCTCTAAGTGTAATTTTTGAAGCCTCAGAACCAGACATTTGGTGTTCCATTACTTCTTATGGGAAAAATACGCGCAGTTCTCAATTTTTGGGTGTTTAATGAATTGAGTTCTATACCGAGGTATCACTGTACATTTGAATTTGCACATAATTATAAGATGAAATTACTTTCTGAAGGTTTAATTAAAATTTGACTCCTAAACATTTTTTGTCCTGATAGTTTAGAGAGTAAATTTGAAGAATTTTTTTTACAAGTTCCCGATAAATTTGGAGAATCTGTCTTATAAGCTATTATCTTGTGAATGCATAATGAGTCTTACATTATGGTCATGGAATCACAATTAGAGGCTATGGCACAGGAGAGCTTATAACTGGCACCAAGAAAAACCCCTGAAATTAGGTTTAGAGATAAGGCTTCCTCAGTGAAGTCTCAGATTATCTAGCCAATTTTTCTTTTCTTCTCTTGCTTCTTTTCGCATTTCAACATGGCCTGCATTTCTATAGCTTGGTAAGCTTAATTTAAGAAACTTTCAACTCAATGTTATTGAAGCACATTATCTAACTGTATTCATTTATTTCATTTGTTATTGAGACTATAATGATTAAATGTAAATAAATTACATTTCACTCTTATCATGGAATAAATAAAGCGTGCTCCTTTTCAGTAGTAGGCGGCATTTCATGGGACATTCCATGGAGTTGTTTTGATGCCTCTCTGGAGATGCAGGTCCATAAGTTAGAACAAACAGATCCTTTCAAATTCTTCAAAGATGGTTTTACATCCTTGTTTTATCACCTAGAAGTTAATTTCTTTTTGCACAATTATGAGCATAAAAATAAATTCCAGGGTGGTTTTCATGTTTGTTTGTATGTAAGATTTGAATACAACTTTGGTTTGCTTTCCCACTGTTTATCCAGAATTACATCCCAAACAAAAGCATCACAGAGGATAGTTCATACTAACCATCCTTTCTTCTCTCTTCTGTTCACTGATTAATTGAAGATGTTACATTTGTATTTTTTAAAATCTTCACATAGTAAGTATTTATGTGCATGTCTGAATTATTAAGATGCCATTGTAAAGGAGAAATTAATAAAGGAATTTTGACCAAAGCTGAATGATTCTATTTAACTCAATTCTTAACTAACCATGTTTTCCCATCAAATTGCCTCCCTGGAACCCACACTTGTTCTCTTATAAGCACCTGTTTTCTGGTTATACTAATTGGCAGAAACCAGAAATAACCAAGGGATTGTTTTCTCTGTAACCAATCCAGGATGTGCAAAGAGGTTTCTAAAAACATGCATTGTTGTGAATTGGTCTTAAGAAATATGTCTTCAAGATAAAGTTATAGAAACTAATATTAAAGAAAAAATCTTGAACAGTAGATTTTTAATCTAAAGTTTATTAGGTCATAAATAAGTTTCCCCTTGAACAAGCAAATTTTAAAAAAGACCCTAGGAGTTTATTCTCATTACCATCTCTACTCCAAAAACAGCACGGAAATGTAGGAAAATATACTTTCTTTCTGTGATGTTATATCTCTAGGTTTTTTTTCCTCTTTTTTTTCCCCCTTAACCTAAATATCTCCAATTATTTTTTAGGGTAATAGGATTCTTTTGACTAAGTCTTTAAAGGCTTGTTTGACTTGCTTGTTCCTCAGAGTATAAATAAATGGGTTCAACATGGGAGAAATGGAAGTAATTAGTATTGTGACCCCCTTATTCGTGGTCATCTCATCTTTCGCTGAAGGTTTGATATAGACAAAGATGCAGCTGCCATAGGTGATGGAAACCACAATGACGTGGGAACAGCAGGTGGAAAAGGCCTTTTTCTTTTGTTGAGCAGAAGGGAATCTTAGAATTGTTCTCAAGATATATGTGTAGGACAAGACCACACACACCAGAGTCATGATAAAGACCAAAACAGAGCAGACTAGGACCATTTCTTCTATGTTCCATGGATCTGTGCATGCGATCTTCAGGATAGGCTTGGCATCACACAGAAAATGGTCAATGACATTAGAATCACAGAATTCCAAATCCAACATCATGAAAATTGCTGGGAATATCATAAAAAAAGAAATCATCCAGCAACCGAGGATAAATCTCTTGCAGACGCTGTGGCTCATGATGGTCATGTAGTGCAAAGGTTTGCAGATGGCCACATATCGATCATAGGACATGGTGGCAAGAAGGAAAAATTCTGTTACTCCAAACACGTCTGCAAAAAACAATTGTCTTAAGCAAGCATTATATGTAATGGTCCTGTCACCCGTTGACATACTGTATAGGAATCTTGGGATGGAGGATGAGGTGAACAAGATTTCTAAGAAGGAAAAATTTTGGAGAAACAGGTACATGGCTGTTTTGAGATGGGAATCCATTAATGTGAGGAAGACAATGGTTATATTTCCAGTCATACTCAATAAGTAGGCGAGAAGTAGAAATATAAACATCAGTATCTGTAGTTGTGGATCTTCTGTGAGTCCCAGGAGGATGAATGTGGTTAGTGCTGACTGGTTTCTCATCCCTGGCTCCTGACTTCTGCTCAAACTGAGAGGCAGACATAAGATTCAAGCAGAGGGTAGGAATAGTTTTTCTTATGGATTGTGGTATAAATTTTACATGTATTTCCTTGAGT